GAGGAGGGCCTTCTCTGCTGTGAGGGTGGCAGAGCAGTGGCACAGGCTGCCCAGAGAGGTGGGGGAGTCTCCCCCTCTGGAGCCATCCCAAACCCGCCTGGACGCTGTCCTGTGCAACTGCCCCTGGTAGGATCTCAGCTCTGCTGGGCTGAGGGAACCCACTGTGGCTGGGCCAAGGCACCAGGAGGGGGACAGCTGGGCTGGGCTGGGCAAGGGACTTCTTGGGCGAACACCTCCAGGTGTGGGACCACCTCAGCTTCTCTGGACAACCTTTTCCCATGTCTCATTGTCCTGGTTTGAGTGACACAGGACTAATTTCTCTTCTAATACCTGGGAAGACCGCACTTTTAGAAGACTTGAGTGTCTGAATTTGTGAAAATATTTACTTTATAGCCAGTTATGGTATGTGGGTTTCAAGGTCTCAGTGTTTTCGAGCTCGCCTGGCGCGGGGATGAGGAGGAGCGAGATCTGAGCGCTTGACATCACATTCAATATAAATTAGAAAGTTTGCTGCGAAGTTCTCTCTCTCCCTTGATGGCTGCGACCCTGAGAACTTAGTGTTCCGGAGCCCTGAGCCCTTCCTTTCCTCCCGAAGCCGTAGCGCTCGCAGTGTTCCACATTCGCTGTCCCCTGCTGGGAGTGCACAGCTTCTTCCCAATATAATTGTCTGAGTATAATCTTTGCACATTCCATATTGGTATTGGGATCAATATTGGTTCTTTAGTGCTATTAATGTTAGTTATCTAATCTTACTCTATTAAATCTGTTTATGCTTCAACTCCCGGGTTTCTTTGTTTTTTCCCAATTCCCTTTCCCGGGTGGGGAGGGGTCATCGGGTGACAGAATGATTGTGTAAACGACAATAAATTGTTATGGGTTTCTCAAACAATGACAGTCATCACCCTTGTAAAGAACTTCTTCATTATCGCCGATCTAATGTGCCCTCTTTCAGTTTAATGAAATTATCCTTAATGCGCACCAAGAGTCTACTAGACTGCTTGAAGCTTTCTGGGTCACTTTTCAAGCAGATGTCCAGCAGAAGTCCCCTAGCAGGATCAGCAGGTCCCCCAGGCCCCACGGGGTGCCAGAGCAGCCCTGGTGCCACCAGGACCAGGCAGCCATCACAGTGGCTCATCCTGGCCTAGGGATGGAGGTGGGTGGCGCAGAGGGACCTTCCCTGCCTGCTCCCCGGCTGGCCCTGGGCTATGTCCTAGGGTGCCCTGTCCTCCCGAACCAGGACACGGGACCTCTCTGGGGCAGCTGCTCCCTGATGGCTTCACAGTCTCCCACACCAGCTCAGCCCTGGGTTTCCATGGCAGCCACTGTGAGGTGACGTGATGTCACCATTGCATCAGAATGGTGGCCCTTATATTGTGGGTTTCTGGGAGAGTCAGGTGCCACTTGCACTGCAAAACATTGAGCAAGCAAGCTGCTGGCCAAGGATGTGAAAGAAACATCAGCAGTGCAAAGAAAAACAAGAAGAAGGTAGGAACGGGGTGCTTCAGTGTCACCCCAACCTCTCCTCCCCTCAGGGGATCTAGCTGGGTTCCTTGGCCTCCCCAGTTGACCCCTTTGCACATCCCGGCATCATGCAGAACCCTGCAGGAGATGCTGGCACTACCTGGACAAGATGGAGCAGTGGATGGTGGTGCTCTTCATCTCAGGCTTTTGGGTCTTATGCGTGTCCTTGCTGCCCTGCATCCTCAGCTTGTTTGCCATAATCACTCTGGTCATCTTCAGGATCTGCTGCCTTAAGAGCAAGGCCAAGGTAGGCGTCTGTCTTGGCGTCGCCCCAAAGATTCCCTGGGCAGGGGTAGCCTGGGACCAGAGCCCATCCCCGTAGTTGCTCAGAGGGAGCAGTGAACAGTGGCCGTTGGCCACCCAGCCAAGCCCCTGCCCTGGAGCCACTGAGCCACCTCCGCTTGGGCACCAAGCTTGGGGCCAAGGACACTCCTGTCCCTCTAACGCCAGTAACTCTTCTCAGGGTTGTTGTTTGCCAGGCACGGGCCCTCCTGGCTGTGGGGATAAAGCTTACACTACCATGGAGTTTGCTTTCGAGGGGCAGGGGACCTCTGCAGTGAAAAGGTGTCAGAAAAGCACAAAAAACGACACGAAAGGTGAGCAGCCCCATCCCAGATCTGCGCTGGGCTCCGCAGCAGCTCCTGGCCGAGCGACACCCATTGCACGGCCTCTGCAATGGCTGCCCATGCTCATTCTCCTTCTGCTTCCCGCCCCAGGAGTCTTCTCCCACTTGGAAGATGTGGAGGGGTCTACAGAGAGCATGAAGGACGAGTAAGAAGAGCCCTTCCCTGCAGGGGGGATGGCCTGGGGAGGTCCAGGGCAAACCCCTGTGAGGATGGCAGGCTTCCAGGGCAAAGCCCTCTCCTGAAACCCACCGATCCCCCCTCCCACAGAGCGCACTGGTGGCCACAGCGCTCGGCCCTCAGCCACTGGCCTGGGCTGGCCCATTTCTCCTTGGGCTGGAAGGCACTCAGCCCCTTGCTATGCCCCTCATTCCCAAGACCCCACCTCCTCGCCCAGAGCATCCCAGAGCTGGCAGGAGACCCCCAGACGGTTGGGAGAAGGCAGAGAGAGGGTCCATGCCATCCCACAGCAGCCACCACCATCCAGCCAGTATTTCCCCCTGCAGGTGTGGGAAGCCCCATGGAGGAGGATGGTGGGGAAGCGAGTGCGGCAGGGAAGAGGTTTCTGCAAGGGAGCTCCCCCGGAAGACAGAAGACATGGCTCAAGGCAGAAATGTCAGTGCCAACACCAGCTCAGAGCTCCTCGGGAACCAGCCCTCCAGTCAAGAGAAGGAGGAGCTCACCAGATTGGTGATGGAGTCCCTGAGCATCACCCAACTCTGCCGTGAGCTGCTGGACAAGCTGAAGGAAGCTCCCGACAGCGCCACGCCAGTTCTATGCAGAACCGTGCGGAAAGTATACCTCGTCTGCCTGCAGTGTGGTGAATGCTTCACTGGCAGCTGCCCGCACTGCAGCGAGCCCACGGCAGAAGAGGACCTGCCCACGCTGGTCGCCATCCTCTACGCTGTTGACATCCTGGTGCACGAGGAGGTCCTACAGCTGGAACTGGTGCTGGGCTTTGAGCTGTCCTTCGGTGGGGAGCTGGTCTGCATGTGGGAGAGAACCCATCGGCTTCCCGAAATACCGCCTGAGAGATGCTGCAGGGACTGCAAGGCGCCTCTGCCCAGGAGCCCCGGGGACAGCGAGCGCTCGCAGGCATGGACACAATGCAGCGAGAGCAGCAGCGCAGGCCTGCAGCCAGCTGGGCAGGGGGGTTCTCTCCCCACCGGGGTCTCCACGTGGCCCCTGCCCCCATGGGCACAGCCCTTCTCCCCTGCGGCCCTGGACCGGCTGCTGAGAGCTGGGATGGAGCCCCTGCCCCGGGTGGAGTTCCGCGGCATGGGGAAGGGGCTCAGTCTGCAGCGCATCCGGCACTCCTGGTACAAAGTGAAGGCCAGCGTCTGGAACAGCATCATAGACGAGTGCGACTGGTTGTGGATAGTAGACAGCCCCCCACCCAGCAGCACCAGGAAAGGGGAACAGTGTGAGGAGGACGCGCAGAGGCACACCACGCTGATGGAGGTGTAAGGAGCACCAGGAAGAAAAGGTGGGACTGGGAGGAGCGTGGGGCAGGGCGAGCAGAGCTTGGAGGGATGGGGACGGGTCAGGGCTGTCTTCTGCAGCCGTCGAAGCTGCGTTGTTCAGGAGGTGCATCTGTAGGACAAGATGCTGTGGTGTGGGAGAGTTGGGATGATGGTGAGGGATGTGAGGGCCTCTCCTTGATTTTGGGTTTGGACGGGGCTGTTAAAGAGGAGTGGGATTGACACCAAATGGTTGACTCCCCGTGAGGTGTGGTGCCTTTGTGCCTTGTGGAGGTGTTCCGGCACATTGCCACATGGCTTCTGTCTGCACCGAGACAGCTGACCATCAGCCTGCTCGGCTCCCCCTCTGTCTGGGAACGGAGGGTGTCTGTTTTACAGAGGACAGTCATGGCATGCCTGTTTCCCCCCCACCGCCCTCCCCCAGCAAGGGAGCCCTCCTGGGGATCGGCCCTGGGGCCTGGGGGGATCCTGGCCAGGGGGCAGATGTGCCCGGCTAAGCTGGTGCTTCCCGTGCACCCGCGGGACTGCCGGGAGGGAAAGCAGGCGGAGAGGCGGGATCCGGCCCAGAGGCCGAGATGCACAGGGCCCCCATGCCTGGAAGAGGCCAGGGGAGGTGGGTGTCCTGCGGGGCTTGTGGAGGACAAGGGCTAATGCCAGATATGCCCTGGAGATACCCGATGCTTGCACACCCCGAAGCCCCTTCGCTCCGAGTCCCCGTTTGGACCCCAGAACCCCCCCCCTCTGCCTCCATGCCCGGCATGATTCCTCACCACCTTTCTCTCTTCTAGGGTGGGCAAGAAGACACTGCTCGTTGGGCAGCACCCCCAGCACAGCTGGAGGACAGTGGAGAGAAGTGACCGGGACTCCCCTGGCCACCAGCCGCCCCTCTCCGTCCCTGCTGTCCCCAGGAGGTGGCTGTCGGCCTGCTGCCGTCCTGCCCAGAGGGGGAAGGCAGGGCCCGTCTGGGTTTGCTCCCCGGGCAGCTGAGGGACCAGGCTGCCGCCCCAGGCACGGGAACCGGGGAGAGGCTGCGGGAAAAGAGTCTGCGACCTGGAAGCAGCGGGGAGACGGACGGGAGGAGGAACGGGCTCCTCTTGGAGAGCAGCCAGCGACAAGCGTGATCCCCACTACCGCGAGACCTCGGCAGAGAACGCGGACATGAAAGTCAACTTTTATTGACTCATTAAAACAGAAGTATCCCCAAAATGTCCCTGAGATGTCCTCAGTTATTCAGCGAGGGTCCTGCACATTGGAAGCTGAGAGAGGTGGCTTTTCAAAAGTTGAATATTGCAGCGAGCTGAGAAAAGAGCCCTTCCCTCATACAGATGTCAAGAAAGAATCTCAGAATCACAGAACGGCTTAGGTTGAAAGGGACCTTAGAGAGATCATCTAGTTCCACCCCCTGCCCTGGGCAGGGACACCTCCCACCAGCCCAGGTTGCTCCAAGCCCGTCCAACCTGGCCTTGAACACCTCCAGGGATGGGGCAGCCACAGCTTCTCGGGGCAACCTGCCCCAGGGGATCACCACCC